AGAAGCCATCTTTAATGGACATATGATTTTAAAAAAGCGTAAAAAGGAGAAGAAAATCAAGAATTTAAGCTCTAAAAAAACAATTAAGAAAGGGAAAAGAAAGGTGGAAAATCGATATAATGATAGAAAGCAATGGAAAAGAGGAATACAATTGAGAGGGGAGTTTAAAAAGTGGGAGATTGAGAGGGGGGGGTAAAAAGGCTAGATTTGACAAGAAAGGAAGGGACAAAGCGAAGGGAAGTTATAAAGGTTCTAAACAAGATGTTGTTTGTTTTGTTTATAAGCAACTTTTTTTCAGAGACAAAGGGTAAAATAAAATTTTAATAGAGATTCTGCAAAGGTACACAAGACTGCATTTTATATTTGTATTTGAAATATGTGTCAATAAAATATTGTAGGGACTGTGTAATCGATGTGTATTTAACTAATTTGTTAGGGAATATTATTTCTAATATTTATAAGAATACTATGTTTGTTTGTTTTTATTTTAAAATGTCATTTAGAATGTACTAAGCAGAATCAGAATAGAAATAACGTTTAATTTTAAGCGTTGAATTTGGGGGGAAAATAGAAAGGTGTCATACTTCAACCAGTCATTACAGGAAAAAGTTTGTGTTTAAGAGAAAGACAAATGGAGGATTGAAAAAGAACAGACAAAAAATGCATGTGAAATGATTTAAAATGAGATTAAATAAATAAAATAGAATTAAGAGAGTGAAAAGAGGGGAGAAGATATTTGTTAAATGTAGAATTTTAAATAAGATATGATATAGTATATAAGTTGAGCATGAATTTAATTTTAAGTCTGTACCAAAAGTTACAACCCGGGGTTAAGCCGCTTTCTAAAAAGAAGTTTTATACTCTTTATGTTATATGTCTTGTCAGTTTATGGATAAGAACATACGAAATAGTAACAATATGAAATATAGTAAGATGAAATATATGAATGAATAAAACTGAATAGAAATAAAGGAAGGAACACTAAGAAGGTGGAAAACAGTAATAAGATATGAAGTTGAATATATAAGATGCTTATTAAGTTATGTGTGGAAATGTGATAATTTAGAATTATATTGTACTTAAATGAGATGTCGTAAGTAGTTCTTGGAAAAGATGTTTTATGTTCTTATGTCTTATGTTTTTATGTCTTTGTTTGTTTGTTTGCTTGTTAAAAAACCAATAAAATTGTTTTCAAAAAAAAAAAAGGCCTTTCCGGGGGTCCGGAAACAGACCTTTCCGGCGTTCCAGGTAGACATGACAACTCTATCCCCATTGGCGGACGTCTAAAGTCATTTGCCAACATATGGGATTCTTCCACTTCCGACTCTTGGGTCAGGGACACCATTAGATTTGGCCTTGCCCTCGACTTCCACTCCACCCCCCCAAATTTCTTTGTCATCCCCCCCTCCAAAGACCCAATTAAATGCAATCTGATGACTTCCGCCATCCAGCACCTGCTCAACATTAGGGCCATCCAGCCTGTTCAACCAGACCAATGAGGTCGGGGCTTTTATTCCCACCTCTTCATTGTTCCTAAACACTCGGGGGGATGGCAGGCCATCTTAGATTTGAAGTGACTTAACCACTTTTTAACCTACCGCAAGTTCAAAATGCACTCCCTTCAATCTATATTACTGGGGATCAGACAGGGGGACTTTCTCACATCCATAGACTTAACAGAAGCCTACCTTCATATCGCTATTCGGCCTTCCCACTCCAAATTCCTACGGTTCTGTTACAATAACCAACACTTCCAGTACGTGGCCCTTCCCTTCAGACTGGCCTCCGCCCCCAGGACCTTTACCAAGGTCCTGGCTGCCCTGGCGGCTCATATCAGAAATACCCCCATCCGTCTCCAATGTTACCTTGATGATATTTTGATTCAATCATCATCTATCGATCAGGCAGTCAAGGACACCCAGGCAACTTTAGATTCCCTTCAAGATCGTGGGTTCCTCATAAACTGGAAAAAAAGCCAGTTATTTCCCTTCACTCAGATAACCCACTTGGGGGCTCTTATCAACACAGTGGAGAGTAAGGTTTACCTATCCTCAGAAAGACTCCTTAGTATTCAGAAATTGGTTAAAGAAATTAGGCACCGCAAGAAGGTGCCCTTATTGGAATTGTCAACATTGATGGGGAAAATGATTTCCTGCATCTCTATTGTTCCCTGGGCCCGTCTCCACACCAGATCCCTACAGTGGTTCCTGCTCCTGTATCAGAGATCCGGAAGAAGCAATTCCAAGTCCCCAGTCAGGGTCCCGCCCAAGGTCCTCACATCCCTCCTCTGGTGGACAAGACCACTCATCAACAAGGGCTGCTTCTTCAAGGAACCTCAAAGGCTGACTATTACCACGGATGCCAGCCTATCCGGATGGGGTGCCCACTTCCAGTCTCTCTCATCCCAGGGGAGATGGACTCCAATAGAAAAATCGTGCAGTATAAACTGGCTGGAGCTTCACGCTGTTCTCCTGGCCCTGCGCAGCTTCCTCCCCCAGGTACGCAGGCAACACGTCCTCATTTTGACAGACAACATCACAGCCAAAGCACACATCAACAAGCAAGGGGGCACACATTCAATCCAGCTGATGAAGGAAGCCGAGCATCTCTGTCGCTGGGCAGAGACCAACCTTCTGTCCATCAAGGCAGAGCACATATCAGGGCTATCAAACATCCAGGCAGACTGGTTGAGCAGGGCCACCATAGACCACTCGGAGTGGCACCTCCATCCATCCCTGTTTATAGAGGCAACAAGGATATTCGGGAAACCGGTGATAGACCTGTTTGCCTCCCCCCTCAATACCCAGCTCCCCAGATTCCTTTCAAGATACCCGTTCCAAGGAGCAGAGAATCACAACGCGATCCGCTGCCCATGGCCCTCGGGGCTCCTCTATGCGTTCCCTCCTCTGGCTCTGGTACCCAGGGTAATCCAAAAGCTCCTCCACGAAAAGGCAGAGTTGCTCCTGGTAGCTCCCTACTGGCCCAGACGGCCGTGGTTTGCGGACCTCCGCACTCTCTGTGCCCCCCCGGAGGATCCCTCCAGACAGGATTTCCCTGTCCCAAGGGCCCCTCCTGCACCCGGACCCGCAATGGCTCCAGCTGACCGTCTGGAGGTTGAGCGGAGCACCTTGAGGAAAGGTCAACTCTCAAATAAGGTCATTGACACCATCCTAGCTGCCAGACGACCATCAACAATCCGAATTTATAATGCCACACGGGCCATCTTCTGTCGTTGGTGCAACAAGCTTCAGATCAACCCAGTTTCTCCCTCCATAGCTCAAATTTTAGAATTCCTCCAGGAGGGACTTGACAAGGGGTTGTCCCCTAACACACTAAGGCGTCAGGTAGCTGCCCTGTCTTCTGTCCTTTCTTATGAGGGTCTCAGTTCTCTCTCTCACCACGCCCTAATCCGAGCCTTCCTTAGAGGGGCTACCAATTTACCCCCCCCCCCCCCAGTCCACTGTTATCCCACCTGGGACCTCAAATCTCTCCCTCACCAAAGAGCCTTTCGAGCCCTTGAGTGAAACCGGTCTCCAATTCCTAACATATAAAGTAGTTTTCCTGGTGGCCATTACATCAGCCCGACGTATCTCAGAAATAGCAGCCCTGTCTGTCAGGCAAGACCTCTGTGTCTTTCATGAAGATAGGGTGATCCTCCGACCCGACCCCACCTTTCTGCCAAAGGTTAATTCGGCTGTCCACAGAGCCCAGGAGCTCATCCTCCCCAATTTTTGTCCCAATCCGTCGCAGGAAAGGGAACAACAATGGCACAAACTCGATGTAAGACACGCCCTGCGTATTTACATCAAACGTACAAAGCCCTTCAGGAAGTCTGAGGCCCTATTTCTGTCTTTCCAACCCAAAACACTGGGTCACAGGGTGTCATCTTCTACCATAGGACGATGGATTAGGGCGGCCATAGCCAAATCATATCTGTCCCAAGCCCTTCAAGTTCCTAAGGGCATAACAGCCCATTCAACCAGGAGCGCAGCCACCTCTGCGGCCTGGGCTATCCAGGCACCAATAATCGAAATATGCCAGGCTGCGACTTGGGCCTCACCTTCCCCCTTCATTCAGCACTATAAAATTGACGTGTTTGCCTCCGCGGAGGCTTCATTTGGCAGGCGGGTCCTGCAGCGTGTTCTTAGGGACCCTAGGGAGACTCAGAACCAGACGGAGTCCCTCCCTTAGGACAGGCCAAGCTTTGGTATGTCCCATCTCTGGATGCTCTGAGCAGCTCATAGGAGAAGGGGCGTTGGTACTTACCTGTTATGCCCTTTCTATTTGAGCTGCGAGGAGCATCCAGCCCCACCCTAATTTCCGTCTGGTGGGGGCCTCTCTTCTCGGCCAAGGACCAAAATTATTTAGGTGATAGGGATAGGAACAACCTTTTTTTCCTCTCGCCTTCGCAAAACTGGGGAACGCCCTGGAAGAGTCACATGATGAAGGAGGAGCACTCCTCAATTCGAGCTCAGCCTAAGCAAGCAGAGACTGAAGCACCTCCCATCTCTGGATGCTCCTCGCAGCTCAAATAGAAAGGGCGTATCAGGTAAGTACCAATGCCCCTTTAGTGTATCTTGATATATTGATATATTCAGAGACTATTGAACAACATATACAATTGGTACGACAAGTACTTAAAAAACTGCTGGCAGCCCACTTACGTGTTAAATTGTCCAAGCACGAGTTCCACTGTACCCAGCTAGACTTTCTGGGGTATAGGATATCGGCAGAAAGAATAGAAAGGGATCCCACCAAGGTTCAAACCATTTTGGATTGGCAAGTGCCCAGCACCCAAAAACAACTGCAGAGCTTCTTGGGCTTTGTGAATTTCTACCGACAGTTCATACCATCATTTGTTACACTGGTGTTCCCTTTAACAGATGTATTGAAAACAAACACATTGCAAACAAAGAAGCCTAATCTTGGACAGGTGATACCCTGGTCACCTACGTGTCAGCGGGCATTTAACTCACTAAAACAAATGTTCGCACACAAACCCGTGTTAAAACATCCAGATCCCGAAAGGCCGTTCGTGATCCAAGCGGATGCCAGCGATGTTGCGGTGGGGGCTGTATTGTTGCAAGAAAATGTAGAGGGCATATTACAACCACGTGCTTACACCTCAAAGAAATTCAGTCCTACCAAGCGTAATTGGGCTGTTTGGGAGAAGGAAGCCTTTGTGGTTCATTGGGCGTGATTGACTTGGAAGCATTTTCTGAAAGGGTCCAAAACCCCATTCGAGGTGTGGACTGTTATATGGTGAAAATTTGGTTATTACACCTGAGAATGTGAACAGCCGAACTGAAGCCATTTTGTGTTCACAGTCTGAACTTTTTAAGCTCAGAACATTTACGTAATGTGTTTTCTACTAGAAATTATATAAGATTGCAAAACTAAGTACTTGGCATAAGTTAGAGGTATGTGCTGGGGCACTCCGACATTATAAATCACATTAAGAGATATTGTTTTCTTATCATCTTCTGGTATTTGAATCACAGGAAATCTGACTATAATGAGAATGTTGGGAGTTTTCCATGGAAGGTTGGAACTTTCTTATGAAAACGTTGTGTAACTTCTACATATGGACAACAGGAAGTGTTATGTAACCATGTGATTTGATAAACCTATATAAGCTCTATTCACTAAATGGAAGTGTCTCCTTTTCTCCTAAACATGGTTTTGGAGTGAGGGGTCCGGTACTGCAGTATCTTACCTAATAAAGCATCCTATGGATCAGATTATCAATAGATGGTTGTTTCATTTTTATGTACTTCTCACAATTTTGGCGAGCTGCCAGGAGATAGACTTTTTTCTTCCTTTGGACGGATGATTTTTTCAGGACTGCAATGGCGCCTCTCCACTGGGTTTGTGGAGGCAGTTGTTGGATCTTCCGCCCACGGGAGGGAAAATCGCTCTTAAGCCTATGGTTGACTGATAATCTGTGATTGTAGCTGCTCGGAACGGACGAAGTTAGGTGCACCGGGGGATCAGGTGAGCTGAATTTAATTAGTAACTTTTAACATCGTGTTGCAACATTTCCTAAATTGCTTTGGGATTGTTTAGAGGTGTCTGAAAATGATTTCTGTTTGACGTGTGTGTGAGTCTACACTGTTTCTCCCTGTCATATTTTGTGTTAAAGGGGGTTAGACATTTTTTTGTTTAACAAGAACAAAATGTTTGTAAAGTCCCAGAGTTCTCTCTCCTTTTGGAGAGCTGGTTCAGCTTTTGGCTGCTGGTATTTAAGTATTAACCCCTTGATGAGTGATACAGATTGTACTTTGTATGGCTGGAATGGCTGAATTATGTTTGAAACTGTTCAAATTTGGAGAGTGTATTGAAATGTGTATTGGATTGAGGCTTGATGCCTTAAAAGCTGTGTTAAACAGTTAACTGTTGACTCTTTGTATTGTCTCTTCTAATGCTGTGTTGAAGGGTTAAAGAGGTTAGATGCCCAGGTGATTTATGTTGATCTGTGATATGTGGAAGAATCTTTCCCCTCTTAGTAAGAGATTTTATTAAGGGGGGGAGCCTCTGGAATAGGCTAGCTGTTTATGCTCATCTCCCCTATAATTTGTTCCTGCTGTTTCAGATACAGCTGAGAGGGGGAGAATTAAGGGGGGTGAGTGTCTGCTGTTTCACAGTGCGGTGAGTTGAAACATGAGCTAATTTTGTGAGAGAGAGTTGAAGGATTTTATGTCTGGAATAGTTATAAAATTTAAGGCAAAGGAATTTTATTCATAGTGTGAAATGCCTAATAGTCTTACAGTTGTGTTACTTACTTCCTCTGTTTTGAGGAATTATAAGCTGTTAATGCTGTGGTTGCAAAGTGTTCCGATAAGGATTGGTTCCCTGGTTTAACCATTTGTATTTTTGTGGAGTTGCAGCATATTTTGGATTATTTGTTTACTCCAGAAGGGATATAGATACTATACTCTACTAGTATAGCCTACTGCAGGAAATACCTGGTGATATACTGGCTGGAATAGTCAGGGCAGTTAAGTACAAGGTATTTAAACTGATGTGCCACGAGGGCGGAATCTGGTTAGAGTTTTTTCTTAGATAGGTCAGTTAAGAGATGAATCGCCAGCTAAATTCTTGAATGAAATTAGGGATAGTTTGAATAAGTGTTCTGTTTTTTCTTCAGAGACACCAGAATATTAAGCGTTAATGAAATTGTAGTTTGTGACAGAGGCCAAGAAAGCTTTTTTTTGCATTGTGATGTAATGAAGTCTTGTCAGTTAATTAATGTTTTCTGTGTTAGAAGCTGTTACGAAGCTAGAGAGAGAGCAGAGATAATAAGTCAGATGGACTTGGACTTGTAATAGTTAATAATAATCACAGGATTGGAGCTTCATATACTGGAAGTATACTGTAGTATAATGGAGAAGGAGAGAATAGAATTTCTTTCCTGGAACAGAAATAGCTGCTAAAGAAGTAAGCAGTGTTTTACTTGTGGCATTTTGTGAGAAATTGCCCGGACAAGCGGAGAATGCAGCAGAGGCTGTATACCCTAACTGAAGATTAGGGGGGTCAAAGGCTTTTAACACTTGTGTCTCATCGGGAGTTTTTAGTGAGACTTGAGGAAAACGATTGTGTTTTCCTGATAGATACTGGTGTAGCCAGAATTTCTTTGAATTTACCTGAGGTAGGGAATGTATTCAGGTAGGGAAAACTATGATGTATCTGGTGTTAAGGGAGAGCCTTTTGATGTTGCTATTGTTGGAAATGTGTCTCTAAAAAGAGGACACTCTGAGATAACAGTGGATGTTTTGTACAGTGTATACCTGAAGCAGGTATGAACCTTTTAGGATGGGATGCTTTGTCCTTATTAGGTTGTGCTTATCTTTTTGAAGATAAGTGTACTGTTCATTTATTGACTAATGAACAGGAGAGATTTATAGATCCCATAGTGTGGGAAGTGAAAGGGAATAGAGGTGTCTTGAATATTGCACCTGTGGAGGTGATATTGAGCCAGTGAAGCAATGTGGTATTTCCCTGGAAGGGAGATGTGGCTTGAAGCCAGTGATAGAGTCCCTGTTAGGGGATGGGCTAATTGAGCCTGCAATGTCACCGTACAATATACTTATATTACCTGTAGAGAAACCTGATGGTTTTTGATGTCTATGGTTGGTGATGGTTGGTTTCATATAATCACTTGGTGATTATTATGCCAGACCCCTATACATTGTTAGGGGGAATTCCATATGAATACAGGTATTTTAGTGTGATAGATTTGAAAGATGCTTGGACTTGCCCAGTAGTGAGGGCTGATCCAGATACACATCGAACTTGACAGTATCGATGGTGTGTTTTACCGAGAGAGGTTCTTAGAAAGCCCTACTTTGTTAGGACAAGGGTAGAGCAGGTCCTTGGGGGTTTTGAACCGCCTGTGGGTAGAAAGGTATTACAGTATGTGAATGATTTGTTGGTATTAGGTGAGAAGAAGAGAGATGTTGAGAAAGGTGTAAATGCTTTGTTAGATTTCTTAGGACAATAGGGCCTGGGAGTTTTAAGGAAGGAATTGTAATATGTGGAGTCTGATTTAGGACATTTGATTAGATATGAAAGCAAGAGAATCAATCCAGAGAGAGGATTGAGGGGGATAGTTAGATAATCTATACCGAGAACTAAGAGAGCTCTTGTGTTGAGTTTATCTGAGTTAAAGAAACCTTTCCATTTGTTTGTAGCAGTGGAAGAGGTATAGCTAAAGGTGTTTGTTCTAGCTCAGGTGTGAGCTGGGAGGACGAAACTTAGTGGGTTTTTTTGTTGCTGAAAATTGATGGATTCAGTAGTGCATGATTGGCCTTTGTGTATATAGACAGTAGCTGCTATGGCTGTATTTGTGGAAGTAGGAAGCTGACTTTTGGAAGTGCTTTAGTAGTAAGTGTTTTAATGCAGAAAGCATATGTGGCTTACATATGTTCGATTTTTAAAGCTATTTTATTGAAAAGGAGGATTTGTTTCTTTCAACTGACAGGAATTTAAATTCAGCTGAATTCCTTTTGGGAGAGAGACAGGAATGGAAAATATAGAACTATACATGATTGTATTGAAGTTCTAGACTTACAGACAAGGGCGAGAGAGGATTTGGAATATATCCCAATAGAGGGAGGTATTAATTTGTTTATTGATGGATCTTGTCAAAGTGGAGAATGCTTATCTGTTGAGTATTCTGCTTAGGTGTGCGAAGTGTTTGCCTTAGTGCAAGATTTGAAACTTTTAGGAAATGAAGTGGGTAAGCAGTGGCTGAAGTTATAGAATAATTGGCTATAATATATGTTGAAGCTAGTAAGAAGGGAAGTTTTCCAAAGAGATTTTGGGAAATAGATTAGCAGATGAGGCTTATGTATGTATGTATAGATGCATGTATGAGAGAAGTGCCGATAATGGTTTTAGTTCCTGTTTTGGAATGGGATGTAAAACCATGTTTCATTGATGAAGAAGAGAAACAGATGACGTTATAAGATGTGGAGTATGTAGATTGGAAGTGGTTAATAGAGAATGGATTGCAGATAGTTAATAAGCCTACTATGAGAGACATAATAGAGAAGGTACATGAGGGTACTCATTGGGGAACACAAGTATTTGTGGCTTTTGTGAAGAGAAAATATATTTGTAGAAGTATGTACATGATAGCTATGCGAGTAGAAAATGTATACATTGTGTGTGAATGTGTATAAACCTGACAGGAGTAAGAGATTTGGCTATTTGGCCGTTTTAGAGATTTGGCTATTTGGCCGTTTTAAAGAAAAAAGTTGATTGTACTATAATGTCACCAATGAGTACTTTGAAATATCTGTTGGTGATTGTTGATCATTTGACTGGATGGTTGGAAGCTTTTCTGTGTGTGAGAGCGAATGCCCAAATGACTGTGAAGTTAATATTGGAACAGATATGTACAAATATAAATATATATAGATGTTGTGACAGGAAGGTTTGAGCCTGCTGTGAGTTTTGAGTCTGATGTATCAGAAGACACAGGTTTGAGTGATGAGGAAGGTTTGGCATTGGAATTGGAGCCTGCTCTAATGAGAGATGCAGACATGAGCCAGGAGGATGAGGGAATGTCGGAAACACCATCCTCTCCAGAACCTTCCACTTCAATCATGCCTCAGGTGTCAGCAGCTGATCCACAGAACATACCAGAGTCCTTGAGTGATGACGAATGTTGGGTTGATGCAAGGACTAGACGCAGGTTGAGACGTCAAGTACAATTTGAAAAGAAACGTCAAGTCAGAGACTAATTAGAGAGACTGACACACCCCTTCAAGGAATATAAGGAGGCGTGCTAGTTAACGATCCTTGTCTGGATCAAACTTTGTTAATTACTGCGCAGCTTTGAAGAAGCCTCTGTTCCTATTCCTGATTTATCTTGCGGCTCGTTATCTCGGCTTGAAGAGAGTTTCTGGGAAAGCTGCCAACGACGATTACAGAGACAAGTTAACTCTGTGATTTCTGGTATTATTTGTTCGTGTTTATTTCTTTGGGACATTTGGACTCTCACTTGTGGCTACAAGTGAGACAGAACATATAGATATGCATTCATAGTGCATTTATAGTGATAGAGGTACACATTTTACTTTTCATGTGGTAAAAGGGTATAAGGAAAGAATTGGAAATAGATTGGCAATAGACCTGTTGGGCCTTTTTCCTCAGGTAGGGTGAAAAATGAGAACTATAAAACAATACATTAAAGAAATTAATGTTAGAACTTCAATTACCCTGGATGAAATGTTTACCTCTAGTTCTATTGTGAGTGTGTACTTGTTTGAGAAAAGATGTTGAAATTTCACTGTATGAAATGATGTTTGGAATACCTTATACTGGAAGTGTGGGTATGTCTAGAATTGTACTTGAAGATTTTTTTTTTAGAAAATATATACAGGGACTGTCCCAGTGTTTTTCTCTTTTAAGATTTGAAGGACTTTTGGCACAAACACCACCATTTGATTTCCAAGTGCATGATTTTAAAAGTGGAGACTGGGTCCTGATAAAGCAGTGGAGAGCTTTGGGGAAGCTGAGGCCTATCTGGGAAGGACCATTCCAAGTACTGTTGACTACGGAGTTGGTTGTGTGGACATGTGAGTGAGGTTGGACACATCATTCGTGTGTGAAGGGACTTGTGGATCCGGTTCCTGTTTCCAGTGGAAGCAAGCTTCGGAAGGACTGGACTTTTTATTTTCTATTTCTTTTATATCGTGATTATTGCCTTATGTGGGGTAGGTATGGAGGCTTCTGAAGTATTGCCTGGTTATCCATTAACGTGGCAATGGTTATGTTTCCAAACTGAACCCGACAGTATAGAATATGAAGGGCAGATATCACTGACATTGATGAAACCTATGGCTGAGGTTGGAATCTGTATAAGATCCACCTTAGATGACGGTTTGTATTTGAGAAAATATCCAACATGTAACTGCACATATGACATAAGGACTTGTCTAAGAGGATGGAACAATTACATGATCATTGTTTTGACATGTATGGCAATTATACTCCTTCCTATGAGATTTAGAGCTTTGGAGAAGGGATTGTTTATGCCATTCATTGAATTAAGAAGTACTCTAATGAAGTTGATGTTTTTGTGTGACAGTTTAGCTATTGCAAAATGTTCATTTACTGGAAAGGTAGATGTACAGTTGGATGTTTTAAAGTACCAAGAGTTTTACATAGAAGTGTAAGATACTGAAGGAAAAGAGCCTGTTGTTGCTAAGAGTGAAAATGTTTTTCTGGAATTAATGAGAGTAGCTTTGAATAGTTTTTTTCTTTTTGTGTGAAGGAGAGACTACAGTTACAGACATCATGTCTACTTGTTTTATTGAAGTTCCAGTGTCAGGAAGATTTTTTTTTGATAGCAGAGTTTAAGATTATTATACATCCTGATGCTTAATTTGACAAAGATGATACTTTGTTTGGATTTCCTGTGAAGCCAACAAAATAGACTAATCAGAAAAAGCTGACAGTTTTTCCATCTTATGATTGTGTTAAGTATAAACATCCAGGTGACAAAACAATTTATACTTATTTGCCTACTGAAGTTTTTTTATCGTATGGAGGTTGAAGACATAGGTGGAATGACACATGTGTTGTATTTACCAAGAGGTTGGTTTATGTTTTGTGGAGTATATGCATATGCATTTATACCAGTTAATACAATGGGTGTGCAATTGGTTGTTTAATGACTGTTATGGCAACTGCCCATGTTAAGGATATAAACAAAGAAATTAAATTATACGATGAGATGCTGAATATGAATCTGTGGGTGAACATGTGAAGAAATATAGAGAAAAAAGATTAGTGTTTAACGATGCTTCTTTTACAGAATGTGATATGCAAGTTGTGTTTGCACTGTTGCAAGGCTAAGAAACCTGAAGTAAAATGTAAAAAGTTTAGTAAGCAGGAAGTAAGGCTTATGTTGCAAGAGCCTGATGGAAATTCTCAGGTGTAAATTAGTTACAAAAGAAAAACGGTGGATTTGTTATAGCTGAAAATTTGGTTATTACACCTGAGAATGTGAACAGCCGAACTGAAGCCATTTTGTGTTCACAGTCTGAACTTTTTAAGCTCAGAACATTTATGTGTTTTCTACTAGAAATTATACAAGATTGCAAAACTACGTACTTGGCATAAGTATGTGCTGGGGTACTCTGACATTATAAATCACATTAAGAGATATTAATGGTTTTCTTATCATCTTCTGGTATTTGAATCACAGGAAATCTGATTATAATGAGAGTGTTGGGAGTTTTCCATGGAAAGTTGGAACTTTCTTATGAAAAGGGGCGTTGGTTCTTACCTGATACACTTCTTCTCGTAGAGCTGCGTAAAGCATCCAGAGTGGGAGGTGCTCCAGTCTCGGCTCTCACAGGCTGAGCTTGAATTGAGGAACGCTCCTCCCCATCACGTGGTCCCTCGTAGCGTTCCCCAGTTTTGCGAAGACGAGAAGGAAAGGCCTTATTCTCATCCTAACTAACAATTAGTCCATTGGCTGAAACAAGATTCCCCACCAGACGGAACTAAAGGGGTGGAGCTGGATGCTCTACGAGAAGAAGCGTATCAGGTAAGAACCAACGCCCCTTCTCCATAGAGCTGCTGCGAGCATCCAGAGTGGGACATACCAAAGCTTGGCGAGTCCTACGGGAGGGATCCCGTCTGGTTCGGAATCTCCTCTGGAACCTCAAGGACCCGTTGAAGGACCCAGCTGAGGTGACCACATCGATTTTGTAATGCCTGATAAAAGGGGACGGGGATGCCCAGGTGGCAGCCCGGCAGATGTCGGTTATTGAAGCTTGCGTGGCCCATGCGGCCGAGGTAGCCGTGCTCCTGGTGGAGTGTGCAGTTATGCTGGGGGGAACAGGTAGGGCCTGTGTCTGGTATGCCTTAGAAATGGCGGCCCTAATCCAGTGGCCAACAGTGGTAGGTGACACTTTGTGACCGAGCGACTTAGGTTGGAAAGACAGAAATAATGCCTCTGACTTCCGGAAGGGCTGGGTGCGTCTGATGTAGATCCTTAGGGCGCGCCACACATCAAGAGTGTGCCACTGTCTCTCCCTCTCCCGAGAAGGTCTGGGACAGAAGTTCGGGAGGATGAGCTCCTGAGCTCTGTGAAAAGCTGAGTTAATCTTGGGTAGGAAGGTGGGGTCAGGTCGGAGAACGACCCTATCCGAATGGAACACACACAAATCCTTTCTGATGGAGAGGGCTGCTATTTCCGAAATCCGGCGAGTGGATGTGATAGCCACGAGAAACACAGTTTTGAGTGTCAGGAACTGGAGGGAGGCCTCCCTGATGGGTTCGAAGGGAGGCTTGGTGAGGGAAACGAGGACCCTATTGAGATCCCAGGTGGGATAGTGGTGGACAGCTGGGGGGCGCAGATTGGAAGCTCCCTTAAGGAAGGCCCGGATACGGGGGTGATGAGAGAGGGAACCCCCACTACCGGTAGGAATAACAGTTGCCAGGGCCGTGACCTGCCGTCTTAAGGTGTTAGGGGACAGTCCCTTGTTAAGGCCCTCTTGAAGAAAATCCAGGACTTGTGCAATGGAGGGAGAGAGGGGATTGATCTGGAGTTTGTGGGACCGATTACGAAAGGCGACCCACGTGGCGTTGTATATTCGTGTGGTTGAGGGCCGTCTGGCTGCCAGAATGGTGTCTATGACCTGGCTGGAGAACTTCTCCCTCCTTAAGCAGTCCCGCTCAACCTCCAGACGGCTAATTGGAGCCATTGGGGTTTCGGATGTGCAAGTGGGCCCTGGGACAGGGAAATCTTGTCGGGGGGGATCCTCCGGGGGGGGCACTGAGAGGTTGCGGAGGTCCGCATACCACGGACATCTGGACCAATAGGGGGCCACCAGAAGAATTTCCGCTTGCTCCAGGATTAGTTTGTGGATGACCCTGGGGATAAGGGCCGGGGGGGAAGGCGTAAAGAAGCCCTGGGGGCCATGATCAACGCAGGGCGTTGTGGTTCTCCGCCCCGTGAGAGGGGTACCTGGAGAAGAACCTTGGTAGCTGGGCATTGAGGGGGGATGCAAAGAGGTCCACCTTGGGAAGGCCGAAGATTGAGGCTGCCTCCCTGAATAGGGATGGGTGGAGACGCCATTCCGCTTGGTCTAGGGTGGCTCTGCTGAGCCAATCTGCTTGGATGTTTAGAGCCCCCGAGATATGGTCTGCCCTGATGGATGACAGGTTTGCTTCCGCCCATCGACAAAGGCGTTCGGCCTCTCTCATGAGCCGTATCAATTGGGTGCCCCCCTGTCTGTTGATATGGGCTTTGGCCATGACGTTGTCTGTAAGGACCAGGATGTGGCGCCCGCGTACCTGAGGTAGGAAACTGCGAAGTGCCAGGTAAACGGCGTGGAGCTCCAACCAATTTATGCTGCAGAGTCGTTCTGTTGTCGACCATCTGCCCTGGGACGAGAGAGAGTGGACGTGAGCGCCCCATCCGAATAGGCTCGCGTCTGTGGTAAGGGTCAGCCGATTGGGCTCTTTGAAGTAGGGGCCCTTGTTGATGGCCGGTCTGGTCCACCAGAGGAGGGACGTGAGGACTCTTGGAGGAACTCTGATCCGGAGCCTTGAGTTGCTCCTTCCTGATCGCTGATACGGAAGCAGGAACCATTGAAGGGATCTGGTATGAAAACGGGCCCAAGGAATAACAGAGATACATGAAACCAACTTGCCTAACAATTTTGACAAGTCTAACAGAGAAACCTTTTTTGCACGCCTAATAAGCTTAATAGATTTTTGAATGCTAAGGAGTCTTTCCGGGAACAGGAAGACCAGCTCCTGAACAGTGTCAATCACCGCCCCCAGATGGGTTAACCGGGTAGAAGGGGAAAGGTGACTTTTTTTCCAATTTATCAGGAACCCGTGGTCCTGAAGGGCAGCCAGAGTGAGTCTGGTGTCTCTCTCTGCCTGTTCTTTTGAGGAGGACTGGATGAGGATGTCATCCAGGTAGCAGTGGAGAAGGACTGGGAGGGATCTAAGGTGGGCTGCCAGGGCCACCAAGACCTTGGTGAAGGCCCTGGGAGCGGAGGACAGTCCAAAGGGAAGCGCGACGTACTGGAAGTGTTGTTTGTTATAGGAGAAGCGTAGAAACTTGTAGTGAGAGGGTTGAATTGCGATGTACAAGTACGCCTCTGAGAGGTCAATTGAAGTGAGCCAGTCCCCTCGTCTGGTTCCTAGGAGTATTGATTGTAACGTGTGCATTTTGAATTTGCGGGGAGACAGAAAACGATTCATTCTTTTTAAGTCTAAGATTGCCCTCCAACCCCCCGAGTGCTTAGGCACTACAAACAGATGGGAATAGAAACCTCGTCCTCGTTGAGCGACGGGGACAGGTTGAATAGTTTTTATGTCGAGGAGGTGACTGATGGCGGCCTCCATGAGGGCCCGCTTGGCAGGGTCTCTGGAGAGGGGGGAGGACATGAAGAAGTCAGGAGGGGGGGGCTGGAACTCAAGGGCAAGGCCAAAACGGACTGTGTCCCTGACCCATGCATCAGTAGTAGAGGCCTCCCATCGGTTGACGAAGTACTTGAGACGGCCACCGATGGGGAGTGAGAGGGTTACGTTATCTGGAGCACTGAAAAGGCCTGCTCCCGGATCCCCGGAAGGGCCTTTTATAGGAGCCACCCCTTCTGGACCTCTCGGCGGACTCAGCCCGATCTTGTGATGGGGGCGGCCGGTAGGAGGGAGATCTCTGG